TCCTTCCTTCCTTCCTTCCTTCCTTCCTTCCTTCCTTCCTTCCTTCCCACAATTAGCTCAGCCAAGAATTGATCTGCTTTGTACCTTGCCCTTTCAGCTAATGGTGCCACTGGTATTGTACTTGCCCATATGAACATAGAGTCAACTCTAAACTCAAGTTAATAGGATATGATTGCTGTGTTCATTCCATGTGCAATGGACCCAGAAAGAAAAGTTGTCACTGAGTGTGGTGACCCTGTTCACATTACACACTAAAGCAATGGCTGAGTTCCCACAGATGCTGATACACAAATTGCGGAGTCCGCCACAGCCTGCTCCATCAAACTGAGAGGTGGAGCAATGTTCTGTCTTGACCTTAGCAGGATGGAGAATTCTCCAATTATGTGATGCAGAAGGAATATTCTCTGTGTGGGGTGGAGAACTTAGCCAAGCTTGCTGTCTTGCAAATCAGTTAAGCTTCAGGTAACTTTCAAATGTGTCATGCATCTATGTCCCAAAAGTGCTTTTTCAAGAGGCAGCAAGAAAGTCCAGTTGCCTCTTGAAAAAGCACCTTTGGGACAACCATGACCTGGATGACTGAGTATCTCCATAGACTGTCAGGCATCAAGTAACCTTTTCAGAATTTTGTGAGGCAGGTTGAACACTAAGTTATGCATTAACATGCATTACATTAAGGGAAATGCATATATAAAGGAAAAGAGCCACTAAGCATGCATATATTAAAGGAAATTCACATAAATCATATTCATTTTTACATAGGTTAAAAATGATGCAAAAACAGACCAGTCATCTATTCTGACCTGTTATTACTATATATTTATGAGTAGATATATAACATTTAGACAGATTAAACCAACTTAATTTGGAAGAAAAGTGTTCAAAAAAGAACCTGATAAAATTCATCCCAATAATATCATCGGAACAAAACTCTCCCCGTGTTTCTAAGGATTTTTATTATTACTTAAGATCTCATTTTTATTATAATTTAAGGTTCATTTCTTTAATAGCAAAATATCACTAGAGATAGTCCTTTGAGTTACAACCATAATGGAACTTGGCTACTACAGTTGTAAGTCGTAACTATTGTAATACAAAAAAGTCATGTGACCAACATGATTTTATGACTTTTTTGTGATGGTTGTGAAGCAAATGCAGTGGTCATAAAATGTTTGTCATGGTGATGGGCGTGGATTTGCTGAAAGTGCCTGTTTTTGGCAAAACAGTTATAAAACATGATAACATGGGATGATGCAAATGGCTATGAATGCAGCCATATTGCAGAATGGAATGGGAATGGGAATAGAATAGAATAGAATAGAATAGAATAGAATAGAATAGAATAGAATAGAATAGAATAGAATAGAATAGAATAGAATAGAATAGAATATAGAGGAAAGAATAGAATAGAATAGAATAGAATAGAATAGAATAGAATAGAATAGAATAGAATGGACCTTGGAAGTCTTCTAATCCAGCCCCCTGCTCAAGTAGCCAAAGGGCAGGGGTGATGGCAACCACTGGAATTTAGGATTTAGGATCCTTTTTCAGCTAAGTGAAAACTCTGAACGATCGCTAAGTGATTGGTCATAAGTCACTCTCACTGCCTCATGGTTAAAATTCAGGCACCTGGAATGTATTTACAATGGTTGCAGGAAGGATGGTTCCTCGCACTTACAATCATCACAGCTTCATAGGATCAAAATGCAGCACTTGACATGTACAGATAGATTCAACATCCTGGGGTCATGTAATGACCATTTGCAACCTTTGCGGCTGGATTTGCTTAACAACGGCAGTGATTCATTTCACAATCATGGCAAAAAAGGTAATAAAAGAGGGTACAACTCATTTAACAACTGGCTTGTTTAGTAATGGAATATCTGGTCCCAATTGAGATGATAAGTTGAAGAGCCCCTGCAAAGCTTTCTGATTTATCAGCTCTCATAAATTTTTGTCCCTTTCTCTCCACTAAGAGGCCAGCCTTTGCCTTCCTGATTTCGTCCTCCCCTTTCTGCCTCTCTCTCTTTAGAACATCCTTCTATTCAACACCCTCTCTTCTTCCTTCTACCTTTTCAGCTCTCCCTGGGGATCAACAGCAAAGAGCGGAGTCTGGAGTTCCAGGCGAAGGACCGTCATGGGGAGGCAATTGGCGTAGTCTTTGCTGGCAAAGGCATCACCTCCCTTTTTGACTTGAAGTGGCACAAAATGGTAGTCAGCATTCAAAGCCAGGTGATCTCGGTCCATGTTGACTGCAATTACATCTCATCTAAGCCTCTGCAGCTGCGCCATCGGTTGGTCAGTGAAGGCAATGCATTCGTGGGACTGGAGGCAGTGCATGGGACTCCAGTGATGGTGAGTCACGGCGGCAGCAGTGGTGGTGGTGGGCACACGTGAACCTCCTGTAGCTAGGAGATACATCTCCAACTTGAGCTGACCACAGTTTTCTCCAAACTGGGCAAGATATTTTGCTTCCCCTCCAAGAGAGAGGACAACTTGCTGCCACAGGCTTCAATGTAGCTTCTCTGGTGCTAATGCTTAGCTTAAAGAAATTGAGCCAAAACAATTGGAGAGATTCAAATTGGTTTTCTTTATTTGCTAACAGAAATACAGTAATCATTAGGCTCCTAGCCAGCAAGAGCTAAGAGCCCAGAATGCTAGAGTACTCAAGTCATATAAAGTGACAGAGTAATTGAATAATTAGTTTACAACTACAGATAAAAGACACAGAGGACTGAAAGAAGCTGGGGTCATCTAGTTTTATTTTTTTGACGGACCAATATTAGCTTTACAAAGATATAAACTCTACAGTTGTTGAAACATTGTTTATACAGGTAGTCCTGAACTCACAAAGTTTAGCAGATGTTCAGAATTACTACGGCACTGGAAAACAGTGACTTTTGAAGAGTTCTCACTCTTACAACTTTTCGTAGCATCTCCACAGCCACATGATCAAAATTTGGGTGGTTGGCATATAATTATGATGTTTTCAGCATCCTGGACCATTTGCAAACTTCCCGGCTGGCTTCTGGGAAGCTGGCTTTGCTTAACACTCACATGATTCACTTAATAGCTGCAGTAAGTTGTTTAGCAATCATGGCAAAAAAAGTCATAAAATTAAGCAAGTCTCATTTAACAACCATCTTGCTTAACAATGGAAATTCTGGTCCCAATTGTGGTTGTATCCCCTCTGAAACAGTTGTCAAGAATACTTGATCCAGAGATTTGCAAAATATTCCAATTTCCTTGAATAATTCTCCCCTTTTGTAAGAGAGGAAAAAATCTTCCAAAACTTTTTGCGACTTCCCCAAAATCCTTAGAAAGTCTCAGGAAAGATAGCATCTGCTGAGAAATGTCCTTTTAAGCTCTGGATTTCTCTGGGCATTTCTCAAACCTGAGGTGGCAGCTCCAAATCTGCTCCGTTTTTTTTTTTTTTTTTTAATGATGCATGAAATGTGGTGGCAACTTTTCTTGGTGCAGGATCATTTTCAAAAGGAATGTAGCTCTAGAGAATGTGAGTCAGTGTGAAGCCCTCAGCTACTGCAGCAGTAACAGAGCCAGCTCTCTTCGAGCAAGAGACAGAGCTGCGAGGCATCAGTCCTGCTGTTTTTGGATTGGTTTTGTGTGCTGTGATATACTAACACACTTTAGATTCTTGTTGCTCTGTCATCCTTCCTTGGATATTTGATACCCTATGCAAATGTTGATAAAGCACGCAAAGCATAATCAGAATCTCTTACCTGTTAAGGAAGTGGGTTCATACCATAATGCCGAACTTCAGGACTTTGTCCCCACCTACAAAGAGAATGGAAGAATACCACAGTGGTAGCTAAAACTGAAATGAGATTTCCCCCTCCCCCGCCTCAGTTCCAAAGTTTCTTTTCCTGAATGAATCTGAGCACAATGAATTGAAAGAGAAGCCAGACTTGCTCTTAAACAAATCGTACAGCAGTAATAACCAATGAAGAAAGAGTAGCTCATAGAAAGACTTTGCACTTTTATAATGTTCTTAAGTGTCAAACATACATTGAAACCCACCATAATGAGATGAATAAGGCACACTTGGGATATCCCTCCCCACAATATCTTGCATTTCTCTAGGTCAATGTTTCTCAATCTCAGCAGCTTAAAGAAATATGGACTTTGGGTCCCAGAATTCCCCAGACAGCACCTGGTTGAGAAATACTGCTCCAAGATTTGCAACTTTCAGAATTTCCAGCTGGTACGGACAAGGGCTGTGTTGACTGGGAATGCTTTGGTAGTTCCTTTACATCTGAAATTGACCAGCTGAAGGAAGCTGTCCAGCATTTCAGAATTTTATTTGGAACATTAATCCATCTAGTCTAGCAGTTGGCCAGACTTCTTGCAACTAAGCAGGTATCCTTTATCATAACTGATTTATTTTTACTTTACTATCATATCAACTTTGTGCTGTTGAGCTGGGTTTGATCGCTGGTGATTGTGAATGCCCAACATCTCAACCTGTCTCCAGTGACGACCAGTAGATTTGGACATTCCTGTAACTTTCTTGATTTTATCCATCCACCTATTCCTACCTCTTCATTATTTTATTTACTCTCGCCAAGACATTTCCTTTTCCTAGTTGGTTGTCTTCTTGCATCACACGCTCAAATATTTGAGTTTCTGCTTCTTGATCATCCCTTTCCAGGCACCATCAGCTTTACTGAGTCCAGAACTGATTGATTGGTTCTTGTATTTTATGTTACTATTAATAATTGATTTCCTAAGTCATAATTTGATGGTATTTAATACCATCATTTAATATACTCTCTATACATTTCCCTTCTCATTCTTATCAGTCTGTGTCTTCCTCAATCTTGGATCATCCACCAGAGGCATGGGAGTTTGAGGGTTCTGCACAGAAACTTAGCTGTTCCTAGTATTGCACTTTTCTGGAAGAGAGAGCTCTGATGTTCTTCCTGGGACCTATTGGAACCACTCTCCCAGCTATGCAGTCACAGCCCCAAGTGCTCCTACTACCTGTAGGACTACTTGGACTTCACTTTCCACATCTTATCCAGTTCATCATTCAGGCCCCGGTACTTCTCCAGAGTCTCATACACCTTCTTCCTAATGTTGCTGCTGCTTGGCATATCCATCACCATTTCTGTCTTCTGATCCTCTTCTGCTACCACAATATCTGGTGGATTGACTGGTACCTAGCTGTCCTTTTGTTCTGGAAGTCCCACAAGACACGAGTCTTGTTAGTTTCCATAATCTTCTGTGGAATGTCTCATCTAGAATTGGGAGGCTCTAGAGTCTAGACCATACTATACAGTAGGTAGTCCTCAACTTATAATGTACTGCATCCAGTTTTGGTCACCACACTATAAAAAAGATGTTAAGACTCTAGAAAAAGTGCAGAGACGAGCAACTAAGAGTGCAGAGAAAATGCAGAGAAGAGTAAGAGAAAAGTGCAGAGAAGAGCAACTAAAACCAATTAGGGGACTGGAGACTAAAGTCTTCCAATACTTGAGGGGCTGCCCCAGAGAGGATGGGGTCAAGCTATTTTCTAAAGCACCCGAAGGCCAGACAAGGAATAATGGATGGAAACTTAACAAGGAGACATTCAACCTGGAAGTAAGGAGAACTTTTCTGACAGTGAGAACAATCAACCAATGGAACAGAAGTTGCCCTAGGAAGTTGTGAGAGTGTCATCACTGGAGGCTTTCAAGAAGAGATTGGACTGCCATTTGTCAGAAATGGTGTAGGGTCTCCTGCTTGGGTGGGAGGTAGATGACTAGATGACTTACAAGGTCCCTTCCAACACTGTTAATCTGTCTGTTAAATCTGTTACAACCACAATTGAGCCCAAAATTTGTTGTTAAGTGAGAAATTTGTTAAGTGAGTCGGCTCCATTTTTATGATTTTTCTTGCCTCATTTGTTAAAGTGAATCACTGCAGTTCTTAAATTAGTTACATGGTTGTTAAGTGAATCTTGATTCCCCATTGACTTTGCTTGTCAGAAGATCGCAAAAGGGGATCACATGATCCCAGGACACGGCAACCGTTATAAATGTGAGACAGTTGTCAATCATCCAAATGTAAATCACTTGATCATGGGGATGCTGCAAAGTTCATAAGTGTGAAAAATGGTCATGTCACTTTTTTCAGTACCATTATAACTTTGAATGGTCACTAAATGAAATGTTGAAAGTTGAGTATTCTCTGTACATATACAATATAAGCAGAAACCATGGACAAGTCCAAGACAGAGCTGAGTGGAAGTAGGATCTTAAATACTTTGAATGGTAGGCGTCAGACATCTGTGAGAGCTAAATTTCATCAGGAATTGCCATCAGATTTTGCTGAATGTTTTAGAGAAATGTGGAGGTTTCTGTGCAGTGTGAGCTTCCCAAAGTGCAGACTAGCAATGTTGTTCTTTTGAGGTTGTTCTAGAATCTTGCTTCAGCAGAAGGTTAGGTGAATCTATTTTGTTTCCCGGAGGAAAACAAAGTCCAAGAGGAATTTCAAGAAAAACTAAAACTGCTAAAATAATACTGATTAAATTCCTTCTATGACAATTCAAGCATTGCTAAAATGCACAAAACAGTAAAAAGGGATAAAATAACTGCAGGGAGTTGATCCAAAGCTGCAGAAAAATTGAAAGAGTAAGGCAAGGGAATCTGCATAATTATAAAGAAAAAGCAAATCCATTCGCACTAACTGTGTGGTTCCAGGAAGCGACTGTGAAAGCATTTGAGCTGATCATCCAATGCATAATTAATAAGAAACTAAGCTATTTTGATGAGAGTGCATCCTGAGATAAATCAAGCAGCTTTCAGAAACCATGTTCTAGGCCAGGCCTCTGATTTGGCACTATTGTACACATCCTCTTTCTGTTAAGGCACCAGGCTAGTACAGAATAATAAAAACAAGGACAAATAGGCTGAAAAACAGCTTCTATCCCAGGGCAGTAGTTCTTTTGAATTCTGCTGTATAGTGCAGTGTTGGTGTGATGTCAGGGGTTTCCAGTTCAACGTGTGAAGGGTAAAGGATGTGTGTTTGTGTTTATTTTCATGGTCATGGTCATGATGTGCACTGAAGATGGTGTTTGATTTTGTTGTATGAGGTGCAATGACAATAAAGTAAACTAAACTAAACTAGAAAGTAGCTGAGTGTGAGTTCTATATAAAAATTTGCATCAGACTAATTAGCAGAGGATAAAAGTATACTTACTACAGTATTAACAGCATAGCCTCAAAATTAATTGTGTGAATAATTAATTATTCTAATAATTAATTGAAACTCCTGCCTTGGGCAGAGGGTTGGACTAAAAGACCTTCAAGATCCCTTCCAGTGCTATGATTCTATATAATTTTTCAAATAGATAATTATGTGATAAATTGGTAACTCCAAAACATTTGAGGATAATATTCGAAGGACATTTCCTTGTCTCTTCATCCAAAAGTACCTAACCCTGATTTAAATATTGGTGAACAATATATTTCAAACTCCACTCTTACAAAGAAGATTTCTCCTTCTAGGATTGTATGATCATACCTTCAGCCATGTCCCCAAACCAAAAAGTTCTTGATATTTTAAGAGATTCCAAATATTAGGTATACAGCCAAAAAGAACATACACAACCTTTCTTTCTATCCTGCAGCTTCTGTTAGGAGGGTTGATCCAAATCTGGGGGTGGCTCACCCAAAGGGTCTATAATTAATTTTGATGGTGGTCAACTGGGCAGGAGGTCACAAATCCTGGCTAGTGAACTCTGATGCATGATGGATAATTTCATGGTAATCTTCCCTTACCTGATGTCACTGCTTCCTGTTGAGTGTACAAGTGCAACATCCTCTAGAGAATTCACAAGGCATCCTGTAGAAGAAGCCTACTACAAATGGCAGCTGAAGAACCATAGTACCAACATTGTGTAGAGAAACAGTAGAAATACAGGCCTGTGGAAAAGCAAGTGTCAAAGATGAGGAAAGTAGGGACAAGAGATTTAGTGTAATGGTTATTTTGGAGACCTATAAAGGCAATCAGATGCACACCCCCATGTTAACAATGAAAGATCTACCACTTCCCTGGTTCCTAGAAAAACCTAAAGAAAATGAAGACATTTCTACCCTCAAGAAAATGTGTTGGTTGTAGAATGGCAATAGTTCAGTTGCCAGAATTCCTTCAGTCCCAATCCTTTCATCCCAGTAAATCTTGCTAAAACGATTCAGTAGGATCATGCTGGGAGAAGACTTACTTTCGATTTTAGGCAGATCCTGAAAAGCCCAAGAACCTATCTGAAAGCAGCATGTAGTCCTGGCTTGTGGCGATGGCTGGGAGAGAAGAAAGTGATGGTGAATACGATGCTGTCATTTGGCAGGCTAGTCCAGAAATCCCCTTGCCAGAACTTGTGCAGCTTATAAGATGAGTGAAGTCATGGGGGGGGGGTGTCATGACTCATAGGCTGCTGATCTATATGAGACCACGCCTGATATCTAGGCAGCTTCCAAAGACTGAAGCGCTGAAAGAAACTAGAGATAACAAACAACCAGGAGAAATAGGCCTGTTTTGTTCTTTCACTTTGAATCAGGGCCATGTTCCCTCCCCAGAGAGTCAAAAGGAAGGGATTTTGAGATCTGAGGGAACAATGAACATATTTTTCATCCTAATCAGTGCTCTTCCTCGGATTCAAATTAGAGTCAATATTTCAAGACATCTGAGATTAGTTGCTAGTCCTGAGATTGAAGCCATTGGCCCGATGCCATGTCTGCAGCCCACAAAACCTAGGATTCAGGATTAAAAAATTGCTCTCAGCAATTCTATCCAAAGATGGTGTGAAGTGCTGAGAAACCTGTGGTGCAAGAGCCGCTTGAGAAACCCAACATTTCTCACATGCTCAGTGATGAAAGGTGGCTCAGGATTCTTCTCCAAGACCTGAAAGATGGAAGCTTTCTTCCTGGGATTTTTGATTTTGATCCAAAAGCATCTTGTTTATATTTTCTAGTTTGACATTCAGCAGCTGCACATCTACTGTGACCCAGCCATGGCAATGCATGAGGGATGTTGCGAGATCTCCGACAATGGGGTGAGTAAATCTTAAGGCTTTGCAAAAAAAATGACACTTTTAATTATGGATGACTGGGAGGGATGTGGAATGTTCTTGCCTTTTTCCATGTTACCCTAGAATCATCAGATGCTTATCTGCAAACATAAATGGGCAATCTTCCTAGAGTATTGTGTCTGGGTGTGCAAATATATCTACACACACACCCAAAAGTGTCTGAATGATTTGTCTAGGTTACATATCTATTTTGCAGATTAGCAGCATGCTTTTATTCAACGATTCGGCATGGGGTTAGTTTTCCTGTAACTACTAGGTGCATGGGACCAGCAGTGGAAGAGATATGACTTGACCTCTGGGCTTCTATACTAGATGCTTCTAGTAGATTAACATGGGAGATTGAATGCTGACCAGATTACCTTCATCTAGCAAGGCTGTTCTCCAATTCTCTTATTCTCAATTTAATGTACAGATAGTCCTCGACTTATGATCATGACTGAGTCCAAAATTTATGTTATTAAGTGAGACATTTGTTAAGTGAGTTTTGCCCCCATTTTATGACTTTTCTTGCCACAGTTGTTAAGTGAATCATTGCAGTTGCTAAATGAGTAATAGGGTTGTTAAATGAATCTGGCTTTCCTGTTGACGTTGCTTGTTAGAAGGTTGCAAAAAGCAATCAATCACATGACTCTGAGACAATGCAACCGTCATAAATAGGAGACTGTTGTCAAGTGTCTAAATTTTGATCATGTGACCATGGGGATGTTGCAATAGTCATATGAACACTGGTCATAAGTCACTTTTTCAGTGCTATTGTAACTTCAAACAGTCACTAAACGAATTGTTGTAAGTCGAAGGCTACCTATACAACCATGAATTTCAATTAAATGGGGATCTGAATTCATGGGCACACCATTGTATTCACTGTGAATTTTAATGTGGACCGATTTGTATTTTGAACTGCTGCCACTTTCAAAGTAGATCTCTGGATATTTACAAAACTGTTATTGGTCTTAGAGATGAATCAGAAGTAAGCACTAGTGAGCTTTGTCTATAAGTAGAAAATCAAGACACTCATGGCAGTTCTAATCATCTTTATCCTTAAAATTTGTCATCAGTTTCTACCCATCGGTAGCTGGGCTCATCTGTCATATGGCTGCACCATAACAGGGTTTGTTTTCTCTTTGATGGCTAAGAGTTATTAATAAACCAGACAATTCTGCCTTTTTAAAAGTGTTGCAAATTAAAAATCCTGAATCCCAAAAATGTAGCCTCTCGTTTCCAAACCCACTAGGAACATACCAACTTACAAATACTTTCCATCTCTGTATTATTTTGATTCTTGATTCCATTTCAACAGTGTTTTCCAGAAGCCTCCAAAACACGTCGGGATGTAGAAGTTATGGAGAACAATGAATTAATTGAGATCAATCCCCAAACAGAAGGCAAAGTTTACACACGCTGTTTCTGCCTAGAAGAACCTCAAAGCAAGCAGGTTTGTCTTTACAAGCTACTCCTCTTCTAAGTGTTTTGATTTTGCCTCAGGCCCACTTGCATGGATGAACTGACTTTTATTCTTGGGGTTTATGCTTTTATGGATCCTTCGGTGCTGTGCCTCAAGGTGGCAGTTATGAATATTTTGAATTAAAATTGGCAAGAGAACAAAGAACCATGGAAGCCTTAAATCTTACCTCTGCCATGAAACCAAGACAGATGATGATATAAACAGAACTACTTTACATTGGAGACTACAGCATAAAATGGGAGTGAGCGAACTCATGCTCAAACTCCCACAATTCTGCTTAAGCATGTGACTAAGGGCCTCTGGTTTTCTTTTAAATGAAACTTGCCAAAAGCTAACAAGAGGTTGATTGTGAAATGTGTCCTCTGCTTTCACAGAAGTTGGCTGGTTTTGAATTAGATGGATAAATAGATATAGTGGTACCTCAATATGCATTGTTAATTGATTCCAAGAGGTGCAAGGAGTATTAAAAATAACAAATGCCAAACAAACCACATGACTTATCACACAACCCTTTTGTTTTTGGCTGGGAAGGACTTCCTGTCTGTCAATAACCTTCCCAGCATGGCCAACTTCCTGTCTGTTCTTTGTCTCCCATTTCCTACTGCAGTACATTACCAAACAAACAATGAGTACCAGGACAACATTTTTGTATTACAATGCAGTGTGTATCAAATTCAGCAGGTTTTGTGATAGTGGTGTACTGAGGTACTACTGTAAGTAGATTCCCACCACATGTATGAAATTGCTGATATGGTGTTCACTAACCAGAAAGCTTCTGAGCCTGGCACAAAGTCCACAAACTGGGCTCCTGTAGTGGTCCATGGGAATGACTTTGGAAGACAGGGAGGGAGTGGGAGAGATACAGACTGAGGAATATCTCCAAAATATATCTCAGCCCGCAGAAGGAAGGAGGTATTTCAGAAGCGACCTTCTCTGGTTTTATGGAGAATGAAAAGAAAGGAAAGGGGGAAGACTTTTAGATTTGCAAGATCTCTTAATGTAACTTTATAGTAAAGAGAGAGCTGGCATTCCTGGTTGGGCTTCCTACCTCACAAGGTGAACAGGTCTGCTTGCTCACTGGGGGGGAATTCGAAATCCTTCAAGTGGTCAGGGTTGAGGAACACTGTCCTGACAGCTGCTATATAAAAGCCATGTTGAGGTCCATGGTTTGTTCTTGTGGACATCCAGAGCCTTTGATTTGTGCACAGCAGAATGGGGTTTTTTTGGGGGGAGGGAATGTCTGTGCACAGAGAGCCAAGATGTCGCTTTGATTTATTTTGACAGTCATGAGGTTAAATCAGACCGAATTATACTGTATGGGAAACATTTGGTTATTTTGGCCTGACCAGCCCTGCTTTTCTATTCTCTAAATACTCAGCGTCTGCAGTATGATGGAAGCACTCTGTGGAACTAAAGTGTCCCCTTTTTTTCCTCAGCCTCATCTTCTCCGTGATTTTTACAATTAAACATGAAGTATGTTCTATTTCCCTTTGAAATTGCTTTCCATACATTTTAAAAGGCCCAGGGGCATCATAATGGTTCCAGTATTTAAAAAGGGGAAGGCAACAGGGCAATTTTGTGGCTGTTGGAGAGCTACGAAAGGTGGAGTGCTGTTGCAAGATAAACAAAGGCAGGATTGTGGGGTCCTTGGTGTTCTCTGAGCTTGGTTGTTTTCTTGCAGATGTTTCATTGCCAAACATGGAAGCATCAGCAACACGAGTCCTGGTGGCATAATAGTTAGAATGCACTATTGCAGGCTAACTCTGCCCACAGTCTGGAGTTCGATCCAGTCTTCCGGCCTTTCTAGGTTGGTAAAATGAGGACCCAGATTGTTGGGAGTATGATGCTGAATTGTAAAACTACTCAGAGAGTACTGAGAACACACTACAGGTAGCCTTTGACTTACGACCACAATTGAGCCCAAAATTTCTGACATTTGTTAAGTGAGTTTTGCTCCATTTTATGACCTTTCTTGCCACAGATGTTAAGTGAATTGCTGCAGTTGATAAATTAGTAACCTAGCTGTTAAGTGAATCTGGCTTCCTGTGAGGTATACAGAGTTTGTGGGTCACTGTATGTTCTCCCCTTACTAGAGAGATTGCCAGGGAGGGCAGACAGTTCTTATGTAGGCTTTTTCCTCCAGGACTCAAACCCGGCTATTACGCGTGCAGTGGCAAAATTCTGTGTTGCTGCAATGTCTACAAGAAAAAAAATTGGTGACAGAATTATAGCTGTCAATTTGTGCCAATTTTTGGAGATAGAACAATCTTTGGAAAATGATATTCACACACACACTTATTGGCTCTCCACTCATATAAACCAGGGAGTGACCCTAACTGCTTGAGAACATGTATTTTCTTAACAGGGACGTTTTTATTCACTATTAATGTATTTTTTTATACGGTATATTGTAAATAGTGATGTCTACTGCTGGTCTAAGACCGTAATAAAGTTATATTCTGTTCTAGTCTGGCTTCCCCATTGACTTTGCTTGTTAGAAGGTTGCAAAACCTTCAGATGACCATGGGACACAGCAATGGTCATAAGTATGAAACAGTTGCTAAGCATATGAATTTTGATCACATGTTCATGAGAAAGCTGCAAAGGTTGTAACTGTGAAAAACAGTCACAAGTCACTTTTTTCAGTGCTGTTGTAACTTTGGATGGTCACTAAATGAACTGTTGTAAAAGTGAGGACTACCTGTATATGGTGTTATATAAGTGCTATTCGTTTTGCTATCATTGGTGCTTGGTAATTCCTTGATAAGTGTTCTTTAGTGTTAGCTTGTTTGTCTGAGTTGGTAGTTCCTTGACTGGAGTAATGAAATATCTTTAAACAAACATCCCAGCTCAGCAAACCTCAAAGACCTCACAATTCAACCCTGAGCTACAAATATTGTCTTCTAAAGGCAGGATTTCCTGGGTTCAGAGAAGTTCACAAGTTATGACTTTTTTAAAAAAAAATGAAGATAGTGGCTTTGAGGCCATTGCCCATTAAAAACCAGGCAAAGTTTTAACTGTATTCTTGTTACATTTTCATCCACCCAAGGACCTAGGATAGGCAGGTGATGTTGTTTGATGGCGTTAAGGGTATTGTCACTGAATGTAAGCCGTACCAAGTAAAACAGCCTTTTGGAATTGGCTGCTATTGTTATTGTTGTTTATAAAATTGATATACAGTACTGTCAATCTCACTGATATGGTGAATCTGAGAAGCTTACAAATGTTAAAAAGATAAATATAAAACAATTTAAAATTAAACTGAAATTGAATGTAAAGATTCAGTGTAAATTTCAGATTACTATGATTTCCCAGAGGGGTGAAATTTGGGCTTTGGCTGAAAGGCATTCTAGAGCTGTCTAAATTCAAGATTTATCTAAATCAGAGGCCCTGTGCCCAGTTACCAAAGACTGGGGTTAACTTTGCATCAAATAAATTGGACAATGTCCCTTTAATTGCATCACCTCTGATTGGACAGGATCACTAATTCATATCACTTTGGGGACAGGAAAAAAAAGGGCTCTTCTTTCCCCAGAGATTCAAGAACACTTATGGAACCTTAATTACAAAATTATTTCATTAGTTTGTCTAGCTCAGGGGTCCCCAACCACTGGGCCCTGGACCGGTACCGGTCCGTGGATCATTTTCTACTGGGCCGCCGGTTTGCTGGGCGCTGCCATCTTGTTTCGACGAGAAAGTGCTTCCGGTGAGTTTTTCTGGTTGGAAAGCGGCGTTTGGGTCCTGAAGGAATCCTCGCACCTTAGTTTCATCGAAGGGGGGGGCGGCTTCGAACGAAGAGCCATCCCGATGGCGGAGGAGATTAAGAAAGCACAAAAAAGCACAAAAAAGGTACAAAGGAGGAGTTGAAGGTGGCAGGGAGAAGCAGGGGACGGCTGGCTGGCCGGTCGCTCGGCTCGCCTTGCCTTGTCATGCGTGCTGATGCCGGTACTGGGCCGCAGATCATTTTGTGATGCCGGTACCGGGCCGTGGCACAAAAAAGGTTGGGGGCCACTGGTCTAGCTGACATCTCTCAGTTGAAGAGGATCCACAAAAGCCCGTGTGATAATAAAAATAGTCTTAAAAGCAGGGTTTCTCAAGCTGAGCAACATTAAGAGGTTTGGATTTCATGTTGGCTGAGGAATTCTGGAAGTTGTATCTGCAGCAAAGCCCATGACCTGAGCCCCACAACAGCTGCTGCTACTTCCACCTTGGGATTAGAGAAAAGAAGGCCTGGGGTCACATGATAGTAATCTTCCAGTATTTGAGGGGCTGCCACAAAGAAGAGGGGGTCAACCTATTTTCCAAAGCACCACACAAGAAACAACGGATGGCAACTAATCAAGGAGAGATGCAACCCGGAATTAAGGAGAAACTTCCCAAGAGTGAGGATAATTAACCAGTGGAACAGCTGGCCTTCATAGGTTGGGGGTGCTTCATCACTGGAGGTTTGAAGAAAAGACTGGACAACCATTTGTCTGAAATGGTAGAGGATCTCCTGCTTGAGCAGGGGGTTGGACTAGAAGACCTCCAGGGTCCCTTCCAGCTGGATTAGACATCTCAACCTCAAGCTGAGGTTGAGAAACACTGCTTGAAAAGTGACACAAAACTCTTGGTTGGTTTTGCATTGAGAGACTCCCATGGCCACCTCCTAAGAAAACAAGGAGAGTTATACTCTGGAGGTGTCCTGGCAAACACCCTACTGGAGAAACAATAAACATTTGCAGCGGGAGGCCAGTGCGTCATGAAAACAACTTGTTTTGATTCAAAAATCTGAAACTGGTATATATTTGGCATAAGTTTAACCCACTGCTGGGTACATTTTGACTTAATGGCTCTTTTGATAGAAATCTCATTTTCAGCTCCCCCAGCAGTTGGGTAAATAGGCTAATAGGGAGAAAGAGCACAGTGGAATTAAATCACACTCAGCTATGTGATTTTGTGGGGAGAACATTTGCGACCAATTTGGAGAT